GTGTATCATCACATCATGAATGCATGGTCTTATAGGTGAGTGTGGTATAGCTGAGATTTATAACAATGATTATTATATTAATATTAAACAAAGTGAATTATTGGTTCTATTAATTAAGGAGAACTTTGATGGTACAATTCTTCGAGAGGGCCATTATATTTGTGTAGTAGTGATAATGAATAATGATGTAAGATGGTATCTTGGCTAGATTAATAGGATTTGGATGGTAGTTTATGTGATTTCTTTAAAAAAAAATTTTAGTATATTTTACCTTATTTGTGAACCACAATAATACCATTACATTTTCAGAGGCAAAATCCTAACAAGTTTAAGAAAATGATATCGAATATTATTAAAAAAATTGAACTATAATTTAAAAATTAAATGCAAAGTCGTCCCATGTTTATCTAGCACAGAGATACAGATCAGTTTACTGATTGACTCGATGTCTGTCTCCTTAGTTTTATTTCTTGAAGACTCTATCTTTTTGGTCTAAAATTCTTAAATTTTTTTAAGAACGACAATTTTTTTTTTTTTTTTGTGAGAAAATTAAGAACGATAGTTATACAAACAGAATACCTAATGTCAAGAAAAAGAATATACTCAAGAAGAAAGAGAAAATGAAAAAATTTCTTCCTTTTTCTTAATACTAATGATTTATGGAATCAAATTGCATGTGGTTTATTTCCTCATAATTAGGCTTCTTGTCTTCACCTGCTAGAAAAAGAATCAGTTAACCCAATGCTGACTTTTATCAATTATCTAGAATGCAATTATGCCCTAGGAATATTAACCACCGTTTTTTTCTGTTAGCTTGTTCTTATTCATATCATTAGGTTCTCTGAATGATAGTATAAGCTAGTTTAACTCTAAAATTATATCATCCAACAATATGTTTGATGTATATAAGTTTTAAGACACTATAACAATCTAATTTTTTTAAATACTATGTTCCAGTCTTCTGCTAGTGGCCATGGAAGGGGAACATGCAAAAGATGCTCTCTATATTATTGCAGTTCATGATAGGAAATTCTCAGTGTAGTTATTTAACCGAAGAT